TAATATCATATATGATAAAAAATCTGATAATTAACAAATATTTATACATGAATTAAATCACATACATAATATGTAATTTGATAAATTATAATTTATTAAAGTGTATATTCCTGTATATTTTTTCAGAAAAATGAATTTCAAATAAAAAATACACTGGATTTTTTCTATTGTGTGATTTGAATGTAGACGATTATTCCATATTGGTCAACAGCTTTAATTAAAAATCCAAAAACCAAATCAACAGTCTGCCCCAATAAAAACTTACAGAGGTCAACCAGAAATGATTGAAAACTTTGCCACTTTCAAAAACCCGCCAACGCACCAAAGCGACTAATTGCATTGGATTAAAAGCTTTGCCACATCGGCGCATCAAAGGCGTATTTTAATTGACTAACAAATGAGAGCACGATCTATTGAACGATGCCATTAAGAATCGAGAGAGTGAGAAAGCTCGAGGGCAACAACAATTGTTGTTCGATGCAGCATAATATATATTAAGCACATGTGGAACATTTCCATGCACCATCAAAATTGACAGCAACAAGAAAGGGAGAGAGAGAGAGTAGATTACATGAGAGACAAAAAGAACTTGCGCTGCTTTTTGATTGAGTCTTCTGTGTTTTAGCGATCTTGTTGTAGTTGTCTGATGAGTTTAATGAGCTTAATGGGCGAAATGAAGAGGCGCGCGCATCACCATCGACATCGGCATCGTGACTGAAGTGAAATAAACAAATTCATTTTGAGATTAAGAGACTGCGAATGGCCAGTCTTCCTGTGTTGAATTTTGGTTTATGTGCTCTTATGCAATCGCTTGCACAGTGGTTGTTGAATTCTTTAATTGCCGAAACGTAAAGAATTTTCGATTTCTGTACTATTGCCTTGATCATTGTCAATTTAAAAGCAATAAAATGTCAATTGACAACATAATTTTCACAACTTTAATTCTAGCACTGCCAATTGCAAAATTGCTTTAAAATAGTTGGACGCCCAACAGACACACGATACGCGAATCCGGTTTGTCTGTCAGAGGCGAAATGTAAACCACATCAAAAAGTTATAAGCACATACAATAATAATAGTCAAGATTATGTTACACAAACAAAAGCGAAGGCAGCGCATGAAGGAAATGCAACCACTGTGCTGCAGCCAAGAAGAGACGCGTGTTTTTTTCACAATTTGCTTTTTAACCCATATCCCGGCGGCATCGACGCCAACGGCATTGTCATTTGCTCGTCTAATGCGCGTCTGCCGTTAGCCAAAGCTCTCGCTCACGCGCCTCTCGCTCGACTTGTTGTTGTTGTTGTTGTTGTTTGTATTCTCTCTCCCACTGTTGCGTGTGTTCAAAATAAATTCTATTTGAAACGAATTAAATAGTGGTATGCATGAATGCATGAGCATGGGTGTGTGCGTATGTGTGAGTATGTGCTACTGTATGTGTAAGTAGTGTGTGCGTTCGCTTGTATGAGCGTTTTTTCATCTTTCACATTTGAAAGCACAGAAAATAGCAAACATGAAACATGTTGTTCAGTTTGCTTGTTGCTCTGCACGCGTGCGGTTCGCCTTTGGCTTTTCGCTTGTTCTCTCTCACTCTTTCTCCCTCTCTGTCGGCTCAATCTGCAAGCGAGTCGTGCGAACATATTCAGTAAAAACTACAAAAGGTAGAATACCACAAATATTCTAAAATGCGGTTGCTATTTTAAACAGCTGTGCAACGTTGACATACGCGGCGTATACGTACTATTCCACATTATAATTCAGCAATACAAAGTGCATAGCGTGTAATTATTAATTTTTTATACGCCATTTGTCAGTCTTGCATAAAATTTGTCTGTTACACAAGGATTTTGTGGTTGTGACGGCATTTAAATGGAAATTTAAGATCTAATAAACGGGTAGTTGATTCTGAATATTTCTATGAAGTGAAAAAATTAAAATATTTAAAAAAGAAAAGCTGACACATAAATATTTTGGAAAGAAACAATGAATGCATTCATATGAGATGAGAAATACATATATTTATATATATAAACGTGCTTAAGGGAAATAAAATTTGTTTTTTGAAATATTTAATCAAGCATAAATATAAACTGTTAATAAAAGTGATATCCTAATCTAATTGACAATGCTTATATTTAGTCATTTAAGTATTATTAATGCATTAAAAAATCTTAATACATTTTCAAGAATCAGTTGAAACACTGGCAGATAATTTATTTAACAATATATGGTTCTAAACATCCATTAAATTATTAAATATTTCTTTGAACTTTTGGAACAGCTCATGCTAGTATATGTATGATCTTTAATACTGATAAATGAAATCTTTCTAAAATGTTTGTCACAATTTAATGTTGTTGATAGGTTCTAAAATTCTATAGTCCATGGCCTTGGTTCCGCACAAAATCACTGCCTTTCCCTATTGTGTAGAAGCATATTTGCATTTTCAATATATATGCAGAATCAAAAGAAAAGAATTTGTAAGATAAATTAAGTAAATATACTCGTATGTTTATGTTGTGCATATATATCCTATATATACATTATATTGTTTTTGGCACAATGTTTCCTTGGCTTTGTGCGCGTGAGTCACCTGTGAGTGTGAGTGTGCTCTTGGTTGTTAGTTGCGGTCGCGGTCGTGGCATTGCAATGAAATTGAAATTGAAATTGAAACGAAATGCATTGGATCAACAGCTAAAAAACAAACAAAGCATAAAATAAACAGTACATGCAGCTTCTTTAATATAATGCCCCTGTATTACACAAACAGAGCGCGCCCATAAATTGCCTGCCTTGTTTTCTATGCTGGTCTATTTGTAGTGCAGGTGTGCTGCTGTTCTTAGGATAGTGGAGCAATATGATATACACTTATATATAGTTAATAAGCAAACTGACAAGCTGAAATACCCTATTATGTATTAGCCTATATCAGGGCATTGATGCATTGCAATGTAAAGTTACCACAAATAGTTTACTCCTTATATTTATAGTAGAACCAGAATTAACCTACACGGCTCTCAATAAAGTATTTGTGGTAACTTTACATTGCAATGCATCATTTTACAGAAAGAGAATATACATACATATATACATATATTTATATCGAAAAACTTCCGAGTTGTTATAGCCATATTCTGATATTCGTCTTTGTTCATGTGTAAAGTTACCACAAATACTTCTTATATACAATACATACAAGCATAATATTACGAATCAACTACAATAGAGTAGTATATCCTACAGGAATATACAGGAATATACCAATTCCTATAAGAAAGCGTATTCTGTCTTCGGCTTAGCAATGGCAGCTGTAATATTTGTTCTTGTTTGCGTTTTGCTTGTTATGTTTTATTTGTAGTGTATATTTCTTTTAACCGCAATGAACTTCTAAGGGCAGGCAGTCAGCTAGTCCCCAGTTCCCAGTTCCCAGTTCCCAGTTGGCAGTTGGCAGTTGGCAGTCAAAGTGTAATATGAGCGCATTTATCATAGCAATTGTTTATATTATTGTTAAGCTGGCAACTGTTTAGCATGCAGTCAAGGATATATGCACATGTAAGAGTTACACAATTATATACATACACATATTTAATATGATAGCTCTTGTTTCCCATCTTGGCTGGGCTGCCAAAGTCAAGCACATAATTGCCAAGCGGGGGCGTTGTGACAAAAACAAAAGTTGGCGCTTTCACATTTAAGTAGTTATGAAGTGTGCGCCCACAAGTTGTTTGCATTTGTTTTATTTATAATTAATAGCAGTTTTCTCTATGGCATTTTGCCTTCAATGCAATTGCTGGAATTGCTGTTGCTGTTGCTGTTGGCTGTGGGCGGCATTTGCTGTGAGGCGTGCCAATTGTGTAACAATGAAACAAGGGCAACCGCAATAGAAGCAACAATATCAATATTATATAACAACGCCCAGGCACTCGATTCAAGATCATTTGAAATGCAAAACACGCCTACATCTATCTGATTGATACAACCTTATCAAATTGTCAAATTATTGCAAACAAATAAATAAATAGAAAATAATTTAACTGTCGATTCGTTTGAAATTGTGAAATGCATATCACGCAGCTTTTGAATTGAATTTGATAGGCATAAACAGTCATTAATCGCCATCAATCACGATCAATCAACTTGCTTGCCATTTCTGATTGGCGGGCAGATCGGAGCGACAGATGACGAGCGTTGCGCTTCCCTTTGAGCTGCCTTCTATGGCACATGGAACTTGGCGCACGCCTATTTCAGTTCCAAGTGAGCGATTGGCTCGAAATATATACAATATATGTCTGTATGTGTGTATGTATATACGCACACAGTCTGGGATTGTTTTGCATATGTAAACATAGAGCTTGGCTCATTTCCAGCATGAGTAGCAAGTTCTTTTTTATGCCTGCCTTTACGCTTGATCAATTAAGAGAAAACAATTAAAAGTTTCGTAAAAACTACCAAAATTAGAACTAAACAAAGCAAAAAACCAAAAGGAAACAAAACTGGTTGCCAAATTTTCGGTTTTCCAAAAATGAAAAATGCGACGCATTCACACACACACACATACACACCGATCGCAAAAGAACGGAAGTTATAAATACAAAAATAGTCTGATATCATAGTTATTTTTGCATATATATATACACACGTAGCAGCTGAATGAATGAGTTATAGCCGCTGAGCCGTTGAGGGAATAGCTAGAAGTTGCAATGTGAAACGAGTCGCATATCAATTAGTAGAAAGCGCCAGAGCCAACACCCAGATGGCTAGGAATAAGAGACATTGTTGTGCGGCACGCCCACTGCAATAAGTAGAACAAACTGGAAAAAAAGACAAGTAATTAAATGAAAGTGAAAAGAAAGCACACACACACTCACACTTGTACACTTTCCGGTCATTAACCGGAAAAGTGCAGTGCCCTGACAAATGGCCATTAAAGATGCCAAGCTTCCACTGCATTCCATTTCCTTAAACCATAGCTCATGCTCATTAATTGCAACCATTTGATTTGTTTACACCAAAAAAGCAGAAGAAGAGGAACAAGAAGAAGAGCACTATTAATTTTTGCTGGCCAAAAAACAAACAATTCCCGACACTCGGAGCACTAGTGTTACGCTCTGGGGAATCTTAAGTGCAAACACAAACAACTATGACGACAGCCAAATGGAATTGGATTTGGATTCGGATCTGCCGCCTGGCACTGAGCATCTTGCTGGGTAAGTACTTGTACTATTTTTTGGTTTTTACATTATTTTATGTATTTGGTTGTTGAAAGAGCAAATTCCATTTTGCACATGGCTATGGCTAAGGCTATTTAAACTTGAATTTCTTAATATTAGCAACGACCTTCGCCATTCAAACAGAACATTTCATGAGCCTAGAACTACACATGCTTCATCAATTGAGGCATAATATCTAAATTTAAACATCCAAAACGAATCAAAACCAAACATGAACATAGCAATGCAAAAATATGTGTATGAATATTCAAATATTCCACATAATTCTCTTCAATAGCAAAAACTAATTCGGTACATATGAATATGTGCCTATTAACAGGAAAATTAAATTCATATATTTTCACTTTAACCAAGAAATCTAAGAAAATGAAAATATCACGAGACACAAATACACTTTCTTTGGTGTATCTAAGCTGAAATAATATCGAAAATATTTATTTATTTTCATATTTTAAAGGTTATAAAATAATTTCGTTTACAAATATTTACATTTTTTTAAAATATTATTTATTATAAATTATATCATACTATATTATATATAGAACCGTTTGATTTAGTTAACTACAATCATTTACTGCTAACTTTGGCCTATTGCAAACGTTATGACCTAGCCTTTATGCCTCTCTTTAGCCAAAGTTTAATAATAGAAATTGGGGTCCGGCCTGTCTGTGGGAGGGACCATAAATCAATCCATTATTCATGCTCTACATAAATGTCCAAGTATGCTCTGGACTGAGCAGAAACCATAGAGAACTCACTTCGGTTGCTTTGACAAATCGCACGTCAGCGGTGGGACAATATTTTGGCAATGGAATGGCTGTCGGTCACTTGTCACGGCGGAAGTCGCGCTGGGCAATTGTTGAGGTCCGCACGGTGAGAGCACTTCATATTACGCATACGCAGCGTGGCCAGTGGGTGACTCAACTCGGGCGAGGCACAAATAATCAGTGTTGAGAGCAAAATTGAAATTGCAATTAATTTGCATATATGTATGTATATTTAACGGTATATTAAAGCCATTACGCTTGCCTCGACATCTCAATCTTGGCCAAAAATAAGCATACGCCAACGCGGCCAAGCGAATTTTTAGCGAGCGTGGGAAATTTGCTTGGATCACAGAAAATAATATTGTGACGCACTTGTTGCTATTCTTAGGCATTTATAGTTCGTCTAGTGGTGCCATTGGGCGATGGGCAAACATATTTCAAATCAAACGGCAATAATTTTAACGTTATTTATCAACATTCCTTTCACGTATTTAACACTGTTTTTTATGGCCTTTTCTTTTGATAGTTCTGAGCGTCGCTGCGGCAGAGGCACCTGTCGGCTATAGACGAGAGATCTGCGAGCATCGCAAGGGCAGGCCGGTGCGTATGAACTAACCGCTGGATTATCGATCCGTCAATGCTAACGAGCTGCACCCTCTATTTGCAGATGCAGCCCACCAACATGTATCGCAGCCGTTTGCTGGCGATGCGGGAGCAAATGCTGATTCGCGCCACACTTGAGGGGCCGGAGATCTATGGCTATATATTGCCCTCCACAGACGAGCATCTGAATCAGGAGGTGGCTGTACGCGATCAGCGTCTGCACTATCTCAGCGGCTTTACGGGCAATCGGGCCGTTGCGGCCGTAACTCAAGGTGGCGCCGCCATTTGGCTGGAAAAGCGCTTTGTGCAGCAGGCGGACGGAGAGTTGGACTGTGATTGGCAGATTTTTCTGGCCGACGGCAATGTCAGCATTGCCAGCTGGCTGGGCAGCCAGGTGCGCATGAACAAACGCATTGGCGCCGATCCACAGCTGGTGCCGCATCATCTATGGCTGACCTGGGAACGTGAGCTGGCCGAGAAATTCTTGAAGCTGATCAAGATCAATAGCAATCTGGTGGACATGATTTGGGGCTCTGAGCGTCCAGAGACACCTAAGCATCATGTGATCCAAGTGCAGGCACGTGACTTTGCTGGCGAAAAGTGGGAGGATAAAGTGACCGAGCTGCGTCGCCGACTGGCCCATCTGAACTGCGACGCCATGATTATTACCTCGCTAACGGAGATCGCATATCTATTTAACATCCGAGGCACAGACATTCCCTATACACCTGTGGTGAAGGTATGTATGCCCCATTAGACATCTGAAATTCTTTTCAGAGACGCACTTAACGTTTGTTTCCTTTTAGTCATTTGCCATTGTCAGCCAGAAGGACATTTTCTTCTATGTGGATCACGGCAAGATCAGTCTTGGCATTGATTTGCACCTGCGCACCGATTGCTACAACGACTTGTGTGTCAGGTGAGCTACGAAATAAATGGATTCACTTAGAATCAATGAATAAATAAAGGCATTTTGGTATGTAAAGCAGAGTAATTATAAATTAAATATATTTATTAAGTGACATTTATATACTGTAGATATTATTTATATAATTTATTATTATGTTTTCACTAATACAATTAACGTTTCTGTGCAGGATTAAGGAGTACAAGCACATATGGAGCGATATACGAACCTATGTACAAATCTGGAGGCGCGTCCTTGTGCCCGCGCCTTGTGTCCAGGAGCCGGGTGCCTCGGAAGCCATTTATTCGGCCGTGCCTGACAACGTTGTTGTGGAGCACATTTCGCCAATTATTTTCATGCGTGCACAGAAGAACACGGAGGAGCAGGAGGGCATGCGCTTGGCACACATACGAGATGCCGCTGCTATTTGTGAGGCAATGAGCAACTTAGAGGCCCGATTCGATACGGAGCAATGGACCGAGGAGAAGATCAAGTACGAGGTAGAGCTCTGGTTGCTCTCGCAGACCCATGCCAAGGGCCTGTCGCTGCGCACAGTGATCGCCTACGGCGAGCACTCAGCCCTGCCCTACTATATCTCCAACAATCTGACGGACATTGAAGTCTCCGATCAGAGTCTGTTGGTCATCGAATCCGGCGTGCAGTACTTGGAGGGCACAACGGATATGTCGCGCACCTTTATATTCGGTGAGCCGACGCGCGATATGAAAAGGGCGTACACAGCCGTGCTAGCGGGCATTCTGCACATATCGGATCTAATCTTTCCCGCTTCGGTGAAGCCATCCGGCCTGGACAGCGTTGTGCGCGCCAAGGTGTGGCACGAGATGACCGACTATCCTCAGGCAACAGGGCATGGCATTGGCGCCTACGGCTCTGTCGAGGAGCGTAAGTGTGATATGAATCAAATTTGAGTCCCTAAATTGACTAATCAATGTATTTGGCTTGTAGCTCCTATCTCAGTGGCCTACGGACAGAATAACAGTTTCCATTTCAAGCAGGGATACTTTTTCTCCAGTGGTAAGTCGCCGAGGTATACCCTTCAATGGGATATCGTTCTAAACTATTAATCATTTCTTTGATTTAGAGTCTGGCTATTATAAACGCGACGATTATGGCGTGCGCATCAAGAACGTGCTGGAGGTGTTGGACACCGGTAAAACGACGACCAGCGCCGAACACTTTTTAGCATTCCAATCGGTCACCCTGGTGCCCTACGAGCCGAAGCTCATCGATGGCACCATGCTGAGCTCGGATGAGAAGCGCATGCTCAATCGATACAATGCCAAAATACGTAAATATATTGGCGCCGAGCTGAAAAGACTTGGCAACATGAAGGCCTTCTACTGGATGATGAACAAGACGCGACACGTGCGGGAGTACCTGACCGAGGATGAGTACCTGGCGGCGATGGGCGGCGGCTGTCACAGCCACCACCATGCGCAGCTTCCGTTGCTGGCGCTGACGATGGTGATGATGATTCTGGTAGCATTCATTCACTCAAAGTGGCGGCTATAGATGCGATCTAGACAAATGTGTGTGACTGCGTGCGTGTGTGTGTATGTGTGTGTGCTGTGTGTGGTGTGTGTGGGTGTATTGTGTATGCTTGTGTAAGTGATCGGGTGTAATTATATAGTTTTAGTTAGCAATGCAAACAAAAGAGAGAATCCGGGACTAACCATAAGGAAACACCAATATTAACTGTTAGTATCTAGTTAAGTTCTTTGGCTTGATCCTCAAATTCCATGCGCACTAAGCAGCCAGCTGCTATGAACTTAACATGCTTAAGCAAGAGCATTAATTTAATGCAATTCTTAAATATCGGAAATACTTAACTAAAATAATTCACTGAAAATATCTGTTGAACTTCTCTATATTATAAATAATAATAATGAATGTAAAACAATTTATACCCTAGTTAAGAAATAACGCTGTATATTTTTCTAAATGTGATTAAACGTAAAATTTATTAAAAATTGATGAGAAATATGTTTTTAAACTATGTGGGAAAATGAAAAATATATATTTATTCAATATGAAAATCTTTTAGATCTATACGCATCTATATGCAATGAACTGAATCAACCATACGCTAATCAAAATATTTATAATTGTTATTAATATCACTTTAATGAATTGGAATATTCATATATTGGGCTTAGTCTGAAGACAAGCATAGTAAGATGAACCTAATTCGTAGTTCCAATCTTTCACATACTCTTATTCTGTTCACATAAATTATTGCTAAAATAGATATTTAAATTATATTTTCTTTTAAATCAATATTTGGTTTATTTTCATATAAATCTGTTTTGATTTTTAAGTGATAAAAGAAAGTCAGTCTCCCTTCTACTAAGAAATGTTTTCAGGTCACCTGAATTTCGCCGCATGCCTAAATTTGACGCTGTGTTTAGATTATCCACGCAGCGCTGAGCCAATCTCACCACAGCCAATCAGGCTGATAAGCCCGGCCATAAATGGGTCGAAATGTTTGTAGAGTTTGCCAATGATTCAGTTATTAACGTGACGCCGAATCGATACATTGTGCTCTGAAAAGTGCGGAAAATAAATTGAAGAAACGTCTACATCAGTGATAAGATTTCAAACAATAACAAAGCGCATACAAAAAGATGTCAATAAACCAAATGCGACGCTGATTGAAAACAAAGAAATCATGCTGAAAATAATAAACTTTTTATGCTTTATTGTGCTCGCACTGCCGCAACTGGACGCGAGGAAGGTGCAGGTCGATGAGTTGTCCAAGGGGTGGACTTTGAGGGAAGCCAATTCCAGTAAGTATTTGGAGCAACAGTTTTAGCTTGATCGGAGCTATTTCTGGCCTATATGCGTTAGCTGTTGATTTGATTCAGTGCTCTGTATTGAATTTCGCATTATTCCCGGCCTCCCCAGCGCTGTATTTGTGCGATAAGATAAAAGTATCTGACGTCGACTTCGATTTGTTGCTGTCAAAGCTTGGGGCAATTAATTGGTTGTAAATTTCTTTAACTGCAACTTCAGTGATTTGGGAATTCGTATTTGTATTTGTTTTATATTTTCAGCGAAGCAATTTAAGGTGGCAAAATTACCTTCAGGCGTTTATACAGCTCTTAAGGAAGAATATGGAGATTTACTGGGGCCGGGCAACGATGTAGAGCTCCGCTGGATCGCGAACAAGACTTGGATCTACAGCACTACGTTTGATTTAGGTTTGAGCAGCCTTGCAGATTCCCTGTTTTTTATGGTATTGCTAATCCTCTTTCCATACACATATTTATAGCTGATGAATCGGGCCAGGACAGCTTAGTCAATTTGACGTTCCATGGCATTGATACGGTGGCCAAAATCAGGTTAAATGGCGTACTTTTGGGCGAAACGGACAACATGTTCGTCCGGTACTCCTACTCTGTGGGTCATCTGCTGCACTTCATCCCGAAACATAATCAGCTAGAGATCGAGCTGCTCTCCCCCTTGCAAGAGGCAAATGCACGGGCGAAGGAACTTGAGCAGAAGGGCCATAGTGCTCCACCCAGTTGTCCGCAATCCCGCGGCGATGTCGAATGCCATCGCAACATGTTGCGCAAGATGCAAATGAGTTTTGGTGGCGAATGGAATCCTGCGGCACTGTCATCCGGCATCTGGAAGCCCGTTACCATCGAGTACTATACCGTTGCAATATTGCGGGATGTCGACGTGGCGATCAAGCGCAATGACACCCACTGGACAATGGACTGTCGTGCTTTCCTGAAGACGCCCGATGCCGAGAATTTCTATGTGCAACTTGTCGTGTATGCCAGGTAAGTGGGAACCTAGAAAACTAGAGCTGGAAGATTTCTATTATACCTTCCCTACAACAGTTAGACAATATATCATATATTCTTCTCTCACGTCTCTAGCGAACTATTGGATGAGCCATTTATCGTGGGAGAGAAACATCTCACCTATGCTTCACCTACACTGGAGTTTCAGATTCACATACCAAAAGTACGTAAAATTTCTCTATGAGCCGCTTTAATTGATCACTAACAATGCTTAGGACAGAGTCAAGCTCTGGTGGCCAAATGGCTATGGGAAACAGCAGCTCTATCCCGTAATGTTCGACTTGAAGAGCTATCGCAACCAGAGCGTTCCCAGGTTAAACTCACGAACTGATTCACAAAAGCTGCTGCATATTGGCTTTCGCACCATCGAGCTAGTGGAGGATAAAGATGGTAGGATAGTTTTTAATCCAAAATAGTGACTAAATACGTGCGTGTTATTTCAGAGAGGGGTAGAACATTTTATTTCCGTGTTAACGGCCATCCCATCTTCATGAAGGGCGTGAATTATGTGCCTGCGCACACATTGCCGGAGCTATCTGCCGATACGGAAAAAGGTGAGTGATTGACTCCCGTGTAAATCAATGGGATTCGATCATAATAACTCCGTTTATTGACAGTGAAACATCTTTTGAAATCGGCCTTTGATGCCAACATGAATATGATTCGAGTCTGGGGCGGTGGCCTCTATGAGTCGGATTACTTCTACAGCCTGGCTGATAGCTACGGGCTATTGGTATGGCAGGACATGACCTTTACAAAGGCAACCTATCCCATCGATGGTAAGCGCATGGCTTCCATGCGGAAGGAGGCAGTGCAAAATGCCCAACGAATCGGCTATCATGCCAGCTTGGCCCTGATTGTGACCAACAACGAGATCGAATTATATTTGGTGAAGAATCGCACAGATTTTGGAACCGAAGCGAAGCGCCTGGAGGACGAATACAAGCTGCTCTTCATGGGTAATCTGTGCGCTGAGCTGGACATAATCTCGAGGAACGATTTCAGTCCGCGACCAGGTCCCATGATTTCCACGCCTTCGCTAGGCGTAATCGAACCCGGCAAGGAGCTAGCCAAGGATCCGCAGAGTCCAAACTATGGCGATGGTAATCATTATTATTTATTTAGCAATTCCAATTATACTAATTTCATACTATTTTATGCCTGCAGTTCACATCTATGAAGATGACAGAGACGCGCTTGCACAGAATATTTATCCACCGGCTCGATTCGTCTCTGAATTCGGCTACGCTAGCCTGCCCATGCGCTCGGCCTGGCAACGTCTGCTTGGCGAGGATACGAGTGATGCGAGCCTAGCGGCTTTAATACGTCAGCGTCAGCATGACCCCAAAGGCTTTATACCACTACTACGGCAAATAGCCTACCAGCTTCCCTTCACACTTCAGAACTGGGAGGACAACATTGACGAGTTCATCTACTTCAGTCAGGTGTCACAGGCAATTACTACCAAGTTGGCAATGGATGTCTTTCGAAGCAGGCGCCGCAACTATGAGACAATGGGTGCTCTGATGTGGCAACTGAATGATGTTTGGGTAGCGCCCACTTGGTCCTGCATCGATTTCTTTGGCAACTACAAGATCGTCTACTACTGGGCCAAGGAATTCTTGGCATCCACCAATATCATTGTACTATATAATGATGCCCGGGATCAGTTGAACATAACTGTAACTCGCGAGGAATATATGGAAAGTCCAGACGTGAAGCTCTATAACATTTTCATTAATACATTTCTATGGAAAGACATATTCTCCAAAAAGGCCATCGCTCGCGCAATTGGTTTAGTAAGTCTTACAAAGAACCCTACATATTACATACTACTATTAGGACAATATTAATATTGTCTTATTTTTGTAGCGCTCTAGTTCGATAGATCAGCTTGTCATACCTCTGGAGTCGGTACTTTACGAACACCACTCCAAACAGGAAATTTTCTTGGAAATTCTATTAAGAGATGAGGATAATCGAGTTGTGGCTAAAAACTATTTCTACCCGGTGCCGATTAAGGACATTGTTGGTCTAAGAGATCCGGAACTTACGGTAAGCATTTACTCCAAAATCTCAGGCTCTTTTAAAACTTTTTGTTTAAACAGCTCGAAGTTGTCGGTGTCGACTGCAGCAACCCAAACCTTAACTATGCAAACAGCTTCAGCTTACGTATTACCGTTAAGTACCCAGCCCTGTTCGTCTATCTGGAGCTAATTGATCCGGAACTTGCATATCAACCGCACACTTTTTCAATGAATGGGTTCACACAAACGGTGCCGGTGCAAAATATCTACTTGGATTTCAAAAATGATTCGTCTTGCATAAGACTCAGTTCAGAGCAGATCGCTGTTAAGACCATGAATCAATATATGATTTGAGTGGTATATGACCAAATAGATATATATAAACAGCGTCTAAAAGTTGATTTTATATAAAGAATTTAAAACTTGCTCAAGAATCTGATTAAAAATGCAATGTCTAAATTTAACATACAAAATTTCTCAATTTTTGTGCGCACGCCCCTGACTATAGATAGCTTCGATTCTCAATCTGAAATGTGTGTGAAATAGTGTTTTGCTCTGCAGACAAACGCAATATTCCTGGAATATAAAATAAATCCTAAAAGCCTGCGTACTGAGAATAATAACAATCCCATACTTTGTTTATATACGTTTTTCATACGGTTTCTCTACTCTTCTCTAATCTATTCAACGATGATGATAAGAGCTACTTCAAAATGCGTGCAAAACACCTTTGTACAATTATACATATTCGCTTAAATTTCGGAGCACAACAGATCAAGATAATGGGTATCTCTCAGTCGAGGGCACTTCAAAATTATAATTATTATTTAATGTAATTATTATTATGTCTGAAAATGTAATTAGATCAATAAACTTCATCAGATCCATGTTCATGCCTGTTAAATTGAATACCACTAAAGTATATCTATTTTTGTTTTTGCTCACGGCTTAGGGTATCTTCTTGTCGAGCTGTCGCGT